TTCCCAGGATGTCTTCCCATCTTTCCTCCTTGATTTCCATCTTCTCCCAAGCAGATGTCAGAGTGAGCATGTACACATTTTCCCACCTTCTCCTCCAACAGTATAAGGTGAAATCCTGCTTTAAATTTTTAGAATTACACAACCCCACTCACAAACAAGGAAAACCTCTGTGAACCTGAATATAGAGTAAACTCATGGTGATGAGAGGGGACTTTGAAGTCATCAGGGCTCATGACCAGATACGGTGGTGGGCAAAGGATGTCAGGGGCTGCTTGGGAAAGTCTGCAGGGCCTTTGCTGCTCCTGGTGGGACACTGGGATTCCTGCATGAAGCCAGATAATTGGTCATTAAATAACTCTACTGGAGAGCCAAGAGCAAGTGAACAGCTTGAGGTGCACAGAGAAACATCCATGCAAAATGGAAGTTAGGCTGAGTGGCGCAAACAAAGGTGGGAGTCTGTGGTGGTCATGGTTATGTGTCAACTTACTTTGGCCCTGCTGCCCAGAGAGTAGTGAAATGTTATTCTCTATGTTTCTGTGAAGGTTTATTTTAGATGAGATTAACATCTAAGTCAGTAGATTTTTGAGTAAAACAAATTACCATCCATAATGTGAGTGGGCCTCATTAAATCAGTTAAAGACCTTTGTAGAAAAAGATTAAGGTCCCTAAAGAGGAGGGAATTCTGCCTTCAGTGCACCTTTCGACTTGGATGGCAAGTTTTTTCTGGGTCTTCAGGCTGCTGACCTATCCTGCAGATTTTGGACTTAATTATGCCACTATAATTGCATGATTCAATTCCTTAAAACCAACCTCCCTCTCTCTCTCTCTCTCTCTCTCTCTCTCTCTCTATATATATATATATATATATATATATATATATATATATACACACACAGGTATATATATCCTATTGGTTCTGTTCCTTTGGAGAATCTTGACTAAGCCATTTAACATAGGAAATAGCAAATGTTTCCAGAATGAGGATGTTAAGGTTGAAAGAGCTTCAATACTAAGTGCTGAGCAAGATCAATTTAACAACCACAAGCCCCATATCTAGGTATGATCAATGACTCATCAGCAGCTACTTATTAAGGTATTTACTGCCAGGCACTGTTCTTGGGGTATTCAGTGGGGGAGCACATATGTAATGTACATGTATAATGCCCATGTGTAACATAATACATGCACACATTATATATGTATATAAATTCATGTGTATATAAGTGCTTTGAAGGAAAAGAAAATCAGAGTAAAATACTTTCAGAAGAGCTGTTTTAGAGAAGGGTTGAAGGAAGTCTTTCTGAAGAGGTGGCAGAGACCTGAACAAAGTGAGGAACAAGCCAAGTGAAGATATAATAGTTATAATAAAACTGCCGAACATAGAGAACAAAGAGAAAAATCTTACAGGCAAACAGCAAGAAAAGACTCACTACCCACAAAAGAATGGCCATGAGATCTACGGCAGCCTATTCAGGTCTAAGAATAAAGGCTAGGAGTCCTTCTCCTGGTAAAGCATCATGCAGGAGCGAGGGGGAAAATAGACCCTGGCAGATACACAGGGCTGGGAGTGTTAACTCTCAGAGACCCTGCCTGAAAGAACCCCTGAATGACATGAGCTTCAGGAAGAAGCAATGCTGACCTCATTGTTAAAACACGTTGGATTGATTGTCGAAATAATAAGCTAATTTTTCCTGTATTTTAAAACTCATGCACATACTGTAAAAGCCAAACGTATGGATGTGAGAAGTGGGAGTGGGGGTGGGGATTGGGTGGAAGCTAAAGTGTTGAAGGTCCTTGTCTTAATGAGGAGGAGGTTAGAGATTCTGATTAAATGTAGACTTGCTTAGAAAAATACATGGCTGCTCATCATTCTTCATGGCCCAGCTTGCGTTGAACTTTCTCCATGAGTCTTCTCTAATTACCCCAGCACTCTTTCATTTATCTTTTGAAGTCTTCCAGCACTACAGCCTGTCCAGGCAATTTAGCACTTAACTACACAGTGTCACTTGTCTGCAGAGTGCTGAGTGCTCAGGCTCTGAAATCCCCATTGATTAATAGGCAAGGGCGACATCGAGGAAGGCTTTCCTGGCAGAGACTGCCACTAACTAGCGATGTGAGCTTGGGAGTGTTATACCAACCTCTCTAACTCCAAGTTTTCTCATAGTCTGTCAATTGCGATGATGTGCTGAGATGACCCCCAGTTCTATTTCAGCACTCGGAATCTTTTGATTGGTTCTTCCACTCCTATCCTATGTTTTCTGGGCAAGAACTGCCCAGAAAGGTCATCATGTGAATCAGATGCAATAAGCAGAGCCACTGGGCAAACAATTAATAGCTCCCTTTCTTTCTGTCCTATCACCTCTTCTCCAGTAAGGGGTTCTCATTCCTCTTTCCCATCAGACTCTCAGCCAGCCTTGCTTGAGGACCGTTCCCGGATATAGCCTGAAGTGAATGCCATGGACTAAGCTGAGGCCAAGGGGAGCTTGTAGTCATCAAGGCCTTTGCTTCTGCGGGTGTGTGGGGCTTATTATTCAGTAATTCTGATCAGTTTGTTCCTTTGTTGCATACTTGTCTTCCTGTCCCCCAGCCAATGACTTTCTCCCTAGATTCTGAACCACTGACTTCATTCATCCAGCCTGCCTGACTCATTAAGTCTAGTTCGTACCCCACACTTCCACCATGATGTTTTACTTTCAGATGCTTGCTTTTGCCACAGCCAACACCTTTTTGTGTCTGGGTTACTTATTTCTAAGCTTCTCCCTTATCCGGGGTTGTTAGTTTTTTCTTATCTCTTAGATCCAAATGCTCACCCATTGTACATGATATTGCAAAACAGCAACAATCGTCATATAATTCTTAAAAGTAAAGCTTTTAGAAAGTATTTAAGATGTTGCAAGTTGTTTCAAAAAGAGATGAGGTACATCTCTTTACCGATCTACTCTCTTTCAGTAATTTTCTCAAGTAGTGTCAGCAGAATTTAGTTCCTATAGGGTTGTTGGACTGACGGCCTCCATTCCTTGCTCATAGTTAGCCAGAGCTATTATCAATTCCAAATGTGATACAATTCTGGGAGCAACATTCTGTTACCTTTGCCATATTCTTGTGGTTAAATCTAGTCATAGGTCCAGTTCACATTCATGGGGAATGGGTTTCACAAGGACATGAACACTAGGAAGGAAGGATTATGGGGATCCATCTTAGAATCTGTCCACCACAGGCAGTAAAATACAGACTTGCATGTTGTAGCTGCCTACCTGCTTTCAGATTTCAGCTCTATCATTTAGTATCTGTGCTTCTCTGTGTCTCAGTTTCTTCATATGTATAACAAGGATAACAGTAGTACTTACCTTACATTAATTATTATATTTAAAATATTTAGAACAGCCTAGCATATGGTAGTGCCATGTATCTGTTAGCTGATATAATTTCTAGAGAGGTGGGGGCAGCACAGGGCAATGTCTACCTTCTCTCTGAGGTGACATCACAGCCTTGAGCATGGTGCTTCTCAGTCATTTCCACACGCATAGCATATGGACACTGTAGTTTCAAGATAATTACAAATAAACTGCATGGTGTCCATTTGACAAATTGCTTCTTATTGATTGATGTTGGGTTCCTCAAGGGAAGGTGGGATGCCACAAATGATAAGTAAAGTGGCTGGAGCCAACAATTCTGACAGAAGAGTCCTCAGGGACCATTTGATACTGTACAAAGTGGTTTCATCTTTAGGAAAAATTAAGATTGGACCATCAAATATTTAGCAGGAGCTGTTGTCCTTCAACTAACTTGTGGAGTCCATTATAAGACTTCCGAATGAAAACTATTGCCTATGGAAAGAGTTCTGCGTAGAAAGTAGTCTTTAAATATACCTAAGCTTTGTAATTGAAAGAAGAGATGGAAATGGCCCAGGGGAAATTGTAAAAACTTCGTTTACAAAAGTGATGTGGAGTATTAGGAAAAAAAGGAAATTTTAAAATAAACCCAGAAAAATCACAAACTCTATCTCACCAGGTTAAGAAATGCTAACAATGGAGATTTTAGAACTTAAGAGCATACTAAGTTGGAATAATCATTTCAATTCATTATTTTCAGGAGGTTTGTCAAAAGATGGCTTTTTGTCTAATATCACAGCAGTAGTAACATTACAAACACCAGTCAGTAGAATAAATGGCAGGAGAACAGAGCTGAGCTAACACAATTGACTGCTCAGAGTTAAGTGTATCCATTAGGATTGCACTTAGCTGCAAGTAACAGAACACCTAACTGACAAGACTTACTCAAGTAAGGAATTTATTTGCCACATGCAACAAAATGCCTTTATCCATGAGGATTGCACTTAGCTGCAAGTAACTGACAGGCTTAGTTAAGTAAGGGGTTTATTTGCCACATGCAACAAAACCTCAGGGAGTAGATGAGGCTGGACAAGTAAAGCAATTCCAAATGTCATCAAGGGCCCATTCTGTTTATCTTCCTCCTCTCTATCCTTACCAAGTGGCTTTCATTTCTGTGGTCTCCAGAGGGCTGCTGAAACCCTAGTATCATATCCATTTTAGGAAAGGAAAGGAGTGAGGAAGAAGGCTGAAGGACAACGGCATAAGGAACTGTACTAGCTGAATCTGTCCCTTTAAAAACCTTCCCTGAAAGCTCTGCCCAGTTTCTCTTTTATCTATTGGCTACTGCTGTGTTGCATAACCACTTTCAGCCACAATTGAGCCTAGAAAATAAAATATAGTGTTTTCCAGTTTCTATAGTAAAGGAAGGCAGGGGATTGGATTGGGAGTGGTTTTGGAATTCCAGTCCATAAAACCTGCCATAGTAGTACCCAGAAATCCATGCATCTATTGTCATCCTTGTTTGCGTATCTCTGACTGGGTTTTCAAACTATTTCTTTTCTCTATGAGCAGGATGCTAGTTGGAAATGTTTTTGTGGGGTGTCAGAGAATTGGGTAATCTGATGCTAATAATTAGCTAAAACATGTCTAATAAAGAAAGACTTCATCATACTTACCTGGCCAGGGAGATGCCATAATTACGAAGGTGATTTTTCCAGGACAAGGTTTTCCCATTGCATTTGGATGTGCTGAAGCTTGTGACTTTCCCAAATGTGGGAAACTTGACTTCATAATTTGTGGTAGTGGGGGATATATTTGCGCTCTCCTCTGGAAGGGAGAAGAGAAAGACCATATCAACGGCTGCAAGGAATTCCTGTCTCTAATCCAGGGTTCAGTCACTTGACCAATAAAACTTTTAGTAATTTGTGCCTTACTGTCTAGTGGTTAAGAGGAATGAACATAAGTCTTGTCTTGTACACAGAAGCCTGTCCTTGTAGAGGCCATGACTTGGTTTTATTCTTCTAGAAAATCTGGCAGCACTTAGCTGGCACATGTTAGTGCTTAACCAGTACGTGATTGAGCAAGTGCATATAGTCCTCTCCTCTCTGACTTGCTTCTCATCCAAGGTCACAGGCCAAGGCTAATAAAGCAACCCACTTGTGTAGTATATAACATTAAGATTCTGCACACTGTAATGTTCCTGGTTGGTTTCGAGTGGAAGGCGAGATGTGATTGTCAATAATCCCAGTGTAAGTACCTCACTTTGTGTCCTGGGGAAGTGCCTGCTCAGTTTTCTGTATCCCTGTATTGTCTGTATAACATGGGGAGCGTTTGCTAATTCACTTTAACCTTGGCTGTTTGTTTTGTTGTTGTTTGTTTTGTTGTTGTTGTTGTTTTGTTTGTTGTTTTTTTACCTTGGCCCTAATCAAGATAAATTGCCTGGATCTCTTCTTGATGCTAAGATGGTAGGACAGAGAGAAGAGGCAGGGATCCACTTCTCCTTTGGGAGAGGCATGAGACAAAGGGCCTGAAGAACCCGAGCATGTCAGACTCACTTGGTTGGTGGCAGTGGGAGGGAAGAGGGCTTGGATGGGAGGGAGAACTAAGTCTATAAAGATTAAACAAATATCCTGGCCTTATTCCCACTTAGGAAGATGCCAAGTCTTTGAGGAAAATACTTAGCTGGTCATTAAGCAAGCTGGCAGAGTGTGTGTAATGAGACTGAAACCAAGTGTTCACTCAACAAATGTCAAATCACTTTGACACTTCATTGACAAGAAAAATAAAATGCTTAACTGAACCTGTCCTATTTAGGCAAGGAGATGTTTTTGAAAAAAATTTTTTTTTCTAAAAAACTATTTTGATAAAATAGTATTACTTCCTTTGTCCCACCCAACCTCTGGGAACTCTTAATCCTTTGAAGGCTATTGATTTCCTTTTGTTTGATGTGGCCAGACACGCTTTTTCACAACTCGATGAGAACACATTTTTCCAGTGGGCAGCAATCTTGATCACATTAAAATTCATGAGATGAGTCTCTGTCCCACTTGTTTTTTAATAAAAAAATAGGATCTAGGGATATTATTCAGTTGTAGAGCCCCATCACCCTGGGACAACATTACAATTGTAGTTCATTAAAAGCACTAGCAATTGGAAGGGATGTAGCAATAATAATAAAAAAATTATTGCTTTTAGGCAAAAACTAGAAAATGCTTGTTGTGAATATCCTCTTTTGGCTGTTTAATCAAGAGCAGTGGCAGACAGGCTCCAGGCTGCTGGAGATGCTGCAGTGTCCACAAGGAACAGCCGTGATGACTAGGCTGAAATCTCACTTAGAAGGAGGGAGGTGCCGTGTGGCTCTCCGATACTATCCTCCAGAGTTCCTGCTCCACCCCCAGGAAGGCCCAACTCCCAGTAACACATCACCACTACCTGTCCTCTTCCTTCTGGTGTGTCAAATGAGCATTTCACTAAGCATAGTGCCCAGTTGTCTTCTACATATTATATCCTTAAATTCTCATTACATATTGCCCAAGGTTATATTGCTAGTAAATGGGAAATGGGCCTCCAAATCAGGTCCCTGTAAGTCACAGAAGGTTAGGGAGACACTGTTGTAGATGGCTGTAATGATAGGGCCAAAAAAGAACAAAGGTGGTTAGAACTTTTTGCAAGGGCAGGCAGGGAATGCATGAAAAGTTCTCATGAGGGATGCCAATGTGACATGATAGCCAATTGGCTGGGAACTCCTATGGAGACAGAAGAATAATGATCAAGGTCATGGAAAAAATGGAGGCTTGCACTCCTCTTCCCGAAGGCTTATTCAAAGGTAACTCTTTAGCTAGAATGGTGTACAAGGGAAAATATAACAACTCATTGGTCCTGCTTTCCCAAATTACCCCCTTGGCTATACCCACAAGTGCCCCTATATCATGGCCACTTGTCAGTAATGAGTCATTGTCTTAGTTGGTTCAGGTTGCCATAACAAATACTATAGAATGGGTCTGTTTTTTCTCTCAGTTCGGGAGCCCAGAAAGCCCTAGATTCTGGTAGGGTTCCGTTTCCTCCTGGATTGCAGAAGCTGCTTTCTCACTGTCCTCACATGGTAGAGAGGAAAGCTCTCTGGTGTTTCCTCTTATAAAATCCTTAATCCCATCATGAGGTTCCCACCCAAATTACCTTTGAAAGGCCCCATCTCCAAATACCATCACATCAGAGATAAGGTTTCAACCCATGAAATGTGAGGGGAACATAAACATTCAGTCCATAAGAGTCAAGCAACATTATCTTTCTCAGGCCTGATGCTTAGGCACAACAAAATCTACTCCTCAGGTCCCTCAGTCCATTTAATTTTTTTTTTTTGTCTTCCTTTCATTCTCCTGGCAGATGTTTCTAATAATCATAAATGCATTTGTATATCTAGAATGCACTATTAAGTAGAGACACTGGGGGTGAGGGGTATAAAAAAATGCAGGGATTTTTGTCCATTCTGCGAATGGGTTTTATTTAGAAAAAGGCCTTTTCTTTTTTCTTAGCCAAAGAACACTTAGTTACTGCATAATGAATAATTTAGAAGCCTCTCCTCGTGATCAGAGTCAGGGGTTTTTCTGTTCACGCTACTCCAGCTCCTCTGGCAAAGGAAACTCCTAATAAAGGATAATACTAATGTACAATAGTATTTCCAGTTAATATGGAATCACAATTTCTTTTATTGAGTGATTCAGAAATGACTACCTTTTCTCTTAACTGGGTACTGAAAAATGTAGAGGGAGCTATAGTCATGAACTTGGGGCTTTCCTGAATCTAAAAGTCATCACAGTAACCACCCATATCTGTAGCCCCTTTGGGGTAATCTGATACTGTTCCTCAATAATGAGAGTAAGAATAAGGACAAAAGGACACTTAGCCTGGAACATAGTGCGTTTGCTTAATGAAAATTACTGTTTTTTCACTTCTTTGAGAGTCCAAAGACCTAGGGTGATTTCCCTAAATGTTTCAGCTAACCTAATGCAGAAGGGAAGATGAGAATGAATGGTGCCCTCAATGGAAAGTTTAAGGTCCAATTAGCTCTCAGGCCAGCTGAGTCTTGTTAATTCATCGATGAGATTCTGGGAATGCAGGCAGGCAGGCCAAGCAGGCATCTAGAGCTAAGTTAGAATGAAGAGCTCTGGGAAAAGCAACCAACCAGGGTGATTTGTTCCACATTTTGACCCACCTGGCACATAGGCCATTATCAATCTGTTAGTTTGTTAATAAGCTCCTTGCAAACTTTGGAATAGTGGTCCATTTATACCTCTGATTAATTTTCTGTAATTTAGGATGCTAAAAATTAATGGATTACAGAGCCCTATGATCTTCAAAAAGAAGTTTATGGGACACAATGGATTATCGTGGATAATAAATTAGGAGAAATGGGATATTCAAAATGAACTCTCCTCCCTGGCCATATATAGATGGTACTGAGAGTTTAAATGGGGACTAAGTTAACCTGGTCACGCACTTGAATGAACAGTGGATATAAGCAGAGTGAACTCTGTTTTCTTAAGGGTTCTCACACTTGGGAGAAAAATTGAGAGTCTTGTTGGTGAGGCTTTGAGATGTAATCTCCATTATCTCAAGATAAAATCTTGGGAAAGTAGCTTCATAAGTCTAAGTTCCAAGTTGAGAAAACACTCTGAGACAAATGACCATGGCTTACCAGCATTTTACTTCTGCCCAGTGAGTCTCCGTGACAAAGTATCAACCCATGGAGAAGAGCTCCATATAGGTTACTGCCTGGACTGGTTCACCCATCTCCTCTTTCATCTTTCCTGATACCACACCTATTTTGAGAAACAGAAACAGTTGGTGGTGATGAAATGTTATATAGAACAAGGACATTTTGGGGGGATGGAGGAGTGTGTGTGTGTGTGTGTGTGTGTGTGTGTGTGTGATACAGGGGTAGGCAAAAATAGGTTTATAGTTGTGAGTATGCAAAACACAATTTATTCTTGTATTATAATCATAACCTGCATGTCTTTCCCCATGTGAACAACTGTAAACCTACTTTTGCTTACCCTGTATATAAAACACATACATGGATAGATACATTTCTATACACATACATATGTACATAAAGAACACATATGTGGGATCAAAAAACTTACATTCTGTAATACATTTGTGTTGTTTTAAATCACAAATTATAAATTTTTGGTAATTTGTTATAGTGCATTAGGAAACTGATGCTCAACAACTACTGGAATGGATCTTAAGGGCATTATGCTGAGTGAAAAAAAGTCAGTCTCAAAAGATCACATAGTAATGATTCCATTTATATAACATTCTTGAAATAATAAAATTATAGAGATTGAGAGCAAATGAGAGTCACTAGAGGTTAGGAATGATGGGAAAGAGGAAATGGATGTGAATATAAAAGGAAAGCATGAAGTTTTTTCCTGATGGAATTGTTCCATACCTTGATAATGGTAGTGGTTATACAAATATACACATGTGATAATAATGGTAGTGGTTATACAAATATACACATGTGATAAAATCTCATACAACTATGTGCACACAGTATACCGACATCAGTTTCCTGGTTTTGATACTGTAGTTATGTAAGATGTAAACCAAGGGGGAAACTGGGAAAAGGGTACATAGAACCCCTCTGTACTGTCTTTGCAACCATTTGTGAATCTATACATATTTCAAAATAAAATGTTTTCAAAGCAAAAATAACAATAACTAAAGACTATGTTCACCCGACCAGTGAGGTTCAGTTGGTTGAGCATCATTCCATACACCAGGAGGTCACTGGTTTAGGGCATATGCCTGGGTTGTGGGTTTGG